CTATAATAACGAGGCAGCGCTTCCAAATGAAGCATTCCTCACCAAGGAGAAATATGGATCTGTGCATCGGGTGTACATCATCTGTGACCAGGACAAGGTCATAAAAGAAGACTTTCAAAGGTGGATTATTGAAAGAAACCCAACAGATGAGGTAAAGGTTATTGCTGGCTCTGATCACATGGTTATGTTTTCCAAACCGCTGGAGCTCTGCTCTTGCCTCCAGGAAATTGCAGACAAATATGCTTAATAAATATTTTTGAGATGCATTGTAAAATAAGATAGAAATATATCTAAGGATTAAAAAAAAATCAAGATGTTGTAATAATTAAAATGTTAAAAATAATAATGAAAATATTAAAATATTATTAATGAATCAATGCATGCAATGAAGATTTATTAAAGATATTTAATCAATTTAAAAAATAATCTTAACATTTTAAATACCAAAATATCCTAATTTTCTATCTCTTCTTATATTTGTGTATGTTAAGAATCTAAATCCAACTACCCTTTAACTTCTATTTAATAAGTTTCTAAATTAGTATTTTGTTTCCATTCATCCATTTCCGGAATTCCTCGGTCATTTCTCCCTGCGAATAATGTATACCCGTATGATGAATCCAAATTGTTAATTAGAGAACTTGTTAGTCTCGGGACTATAGAATAAGACTGAAATATATTTAAGGAGATTAAGAAAATTAGAACCTTTTAATAATTAAAATATGAAGAATAATAATAAAAATATTAAAATATTTTTAATGAATGAATACGTAATAAAGATTTATTAAAAGTATTTGATCAATTGCAAAAGGAATCATAACATTTTAAATGTTAAAATTTTTAAATTTTCGTTAATCTCTTCTTATATTTATGTATGTTGAAAATATAAATTCAACCATCCTTTAACTTCCATTTAATAAGTTTCTTAATCTTAGTATTTTGTTTGCATTCATCCATTTCTGGAATTCCTCGGTCATCCCCATCCTCCTTGCTAACGATGTAGACTCGTATAATGTATCCAAATTGTAAATAAAAAAAGCTTGTTACTTGTGTTTGAAATTGTTGTAAATTGTTTTAATTATAAATTTTTTAATATTTATTATAAAAAATAATAATATTATTTGATAATTATTTTTTAAAAAATAATTTATTAATATAATTAAAATATATATAATATATAAATTAAAATTCATTTAATAATTATAAATTAACACTTTTATAAAATATTGTAAAAAAAGTATTATAAAAAACAACCCCAAACACAATTCCAAACTAAACTCTTTGTATTTTCTTAGTTTGACTCGGTGCATTTACAGTCCTATCAGCAAATCTATAATGGGCTTCATAAGAATGACGTGCAAGAACTGATCAAATTTCATTTTTCATGGCATGATGGAAACAAGAGCGCATTATTCCTTTAAAACATCGACCACGAGTTTCACGTGGTCCTAGCAAAGCAAAGACAACACTTCCGAGTCCAAATAACAACAACACCAGCACATTGCGTACTTTAACATCAGAAAGATTATTTTAAAGGGTTTTACATGACCCATTAAAATGAAATACGAGAAAATGAAAACTAATCATATTTGCGCGCTATCTCCAAGAGATGTTGGGAAAGTTGATGTGGTTTGGAAAGCATCGCCATGTGATCTGCATCCTTAATCTCCACCACATCATCAACAGCAAAATTTTGGATCATCCAACGTTGGAGGTCCTCCGGAATCCCTTTGTCCTCATTGCACACAATATAGACCCGTCTCACAGATCCGTATCCCTCATTAGACAATTCTTTAGACTTGGCCAAATCTTCAATGAACAACGATCCTGGCCTGATCAATGCCTTGGCCAGCTCTAGATCCTTTTCAAAGAAAAAAAAAAAAAGTACTAAAAGCTGAAAACTCATGTTGGATCAAACTCGGTTGTTTTCAACTTTAAAGAGTAACTTTGCTAATATTTCTAAATATCTAACTAACTATTAAAAAAAAGTTATAAATTGATAAAAATCAATCAAATTAAACATACTTGAAGTTTGCAATATTTATAAGTAGATGTTTTGTTGTTAAATGCCTAAATTTCATAATTATTTTAATTTTTGTAATTATTTTTTATAAATCATTATTGAGAAAGCAGTTTTGTAGTTCATCCTATGAGAACTACATACTTTAAACCAAATCATTATTGAGATGGTGGTTTTGTAGTTCATCCCATGCAAACTACATA